ATCTAAAACAATATGACAATGCATTGATTAATCTTAACAGAGTATTGGAGATTGAACCAAATAACACATATGCATTGTGTAATAGGGGAGTTGTCTATCTGAATCTAAAACAATATGACAATGCATTGATTAATCTTAACAGAGTATTGGAGATTGAACCAAATAACACATATGCATTGTGTAATAGGGGAGTTGTCTATCTGAATCTAAAACAATATGACAATGCATTGATTAATCTTAACAGAGTATTGGAGATTGAACCAAATAACACATATGCATTGAGTACTAGAGAAGTTGTTTATTCTCATGTTGGTGGTGTCCCTGTTACATTGGATCCTGCGATTTCATTTCCAGTACCTATGCTATCAACACCAGTCATCTCTAACCCAATTGTCATTTCCCCCTATGGTTCTTACCTCTTGTATCCTACACCAATCTTACTGCCAACTTCATCAACTGAAACAATCCCACAGCAATATCAGGTACCTTCTTCATTCTTTGGTCAAACTAATAATAATCAGATGATGGAAGTTGATGATTACTATGAACCAAATGGTATCAACTCCAATGGGACGGTGTGAACATCTTTTCAGATGTCTCAAATGTATAAAATAGAGAGGAGAATCGGTGACTGTATGGGAGTGTGATTTACACATATAATTATGTTATCAGGATATACCGAATTTATTATACTAAGATAACACCGACTTTAATCTTTTTCTCTTTAAGATTAAACTAATTTCAAGTAATTGTCAATGTCTTGTCTGTTAACAGTCGAGCGATCTATAGCAAGGCTGCTAATGTTAATTTCGATTTCGTAAATTTAAAAATATCAATATGCCGCATCGCAATCAAATTGCGCCTCGGTTTCACAACACAAAATTTAGTGTGCAAAATTGCGCCCCACCTACTTATAAAAACGTTCGTAAAATTCCATCATTGGGAGTGTGTTGAAAAGTGTTGTGGTCCGTTGAGCAAATAATAATATTATTCATATTAAATAAAATACCACGATAGGTAGTGAAATTAATTAAAATTTATCGTATACGACTGTTGATTGGATTCATTCACTAGAGAACGAGTATAAGGAATTCCTTAATTAGACGCGTCGGATTTATCGCCTTCTATTCTTCGGCTAAGGATTATTATTAGTTGTTGTTCTAATAATAGTTTTATTTTGTGCGTCATTGTTGTTGAACGAAATTGTCTATTGCCGATAGGCCAGCTTGAAGTTATATTAATATCTAGCTGTAGTTAAGCGGACGCCGGAGTATCAGAAAGAAACATTTCGATCATCGATGCGATAATTTTTTAAATAGATTCAGCACAACATTCGAGTGAGAGTTTATACCTTAGCAATAGGAGGTATAAAGAGTCGCCTGCAACTTTTAGCTACGCCTTAATTGACGCGAGCGTGTAAGCAAGACCACGTTTAAAGCTAATATCCCCCGGCCAATTTGAACACAAACGCTCACCCAAGTGACTGAACGAACGTAACACTTGTCCTTTAGCATATTCTCAAATTTCGCGTTTTATTGTCTAGACTTAGTTGATATGCTTTGGATATTACGAGAAGAATTTTTTTTCCCTTAATGTATTAAAACGTTGTCAGACATTTACAAATCAGAGCAATTCGATTTACATAATCCTAATTCAAATACTTAAGTCCACAATCCTGTAATTCCTAATATTGTTATTGTTAAAAAATTTACTTAAATAAAAATGCGTGGCCGTACTTTATACTAACAAACTAATCTGGAATGATTCTTGCACTGTACAATAAGTTCAACATTGCGATAATTCGACTCCTCCATCCTTCGGATCTGAGCTATAAGATAGAAAATAATTTATTGAGTACTGTGTAATAACAATCAAAACTAATTGAGGAACGTTCACAGCAGGCTGTCCACCGTGCGTCGGGGCTGTGGCCACGATGCGCTTTGATTCAAACGGTCAATGTATCTTATTCACCACGCCAACATTTACCTTCGGCTTTGTCGTAACGGAGACGAACGTTCATACATTGTGTATCAGGAGATTACCGAATGTATCCTATTTACCACACGGAATTTACCTTCGGCTTCGTCATGGCGGAGCTTCGATTCATTTAGCAGCGTAAATTTGGATACAATAACCACTCAATTCACCTTACAGGAGATACCTCCCTTCGTCGTACAAGATTAACAGCATCTTCCCTTTGACAGATGTCGCCATATTTGAAGAAATGTTAATATACCTGCAGCAATTTTGATTTATACCGGGGTACTAGTTATTCTATTCCTCCAGCACATATATATACACTCGTACCCCGTTTATCCCTACCCAGTTATATCCCCCCCGGTTATATCCCCAACTTTTGTAAAAACAAATGGCCTTCTAAGAACGAATGTTCCTTTTTGTGCCAGTTAAATCCCATCTCAGATATATCCCTATCCCCAAAATTCTTATAACCGAATATAATAATCCGAACCCGTTTATATCCCCCAAGTTACACCAATTGCTAAAAAAGACTGCATGCAATTATTTACGTGTTATTTGTAATGCGATGGACGTTAGGCAGTGTAATAGTTATTTTCGCGTTATTTAGTGTTATTTGTTTGACATTTACATAGAATAAAATAAAGTCCCTCACGATAGCTATTTACATGAAATTTGATTATTTGATATTAGAATGTCTTCCGAGTAGTGATGATGATGAAGATGAAGTGGAGGAAAGATTCATTATCACTTATGAAGAAGGTAAAAAAGCGTTTGGTATATTCAAGCAGTATATTGAACAGTTAGAGCATGCAACTGCAAATGATATTTTTTTCTGAACAACTTAATGAAAAAGAACACATTGATAAATTAAAACAAAGCAACTGGATTTATATTTCTGATAATAACATTGTACGTATATATTTGAATAACCCATTTTATTTAATTTTTTTTTTTTTTTGCATTATCATTATGATTATGATTCTTGTCATGTGACTACGACATCATCCTTACCCCGCTTATATCCCCACTTTTGAGCTAAACGAAAGGGGGGATATAAACGGGGTATGAGTGTATATATTAATATCCTCCCTGTGATTTGTGATTATTACCGACTTTTCGTATTCCACCGTCAATGATGGAATTATCTGCACCAATAGAAGTAAACCGAGACACATGTCAGAGAAATATACATTCTATCGAAATGTTTGTATTACAGTATTAACGCAAAAACCTTTCCCTTGGATCAATGATGGGCATGTAGCCATACTGATACATAAAAAATTTTTTATTAATTAATTATATTACCGCAACTCTCTTAAGGCCTACCTTGTCTTTGTTTATTACAGAATAGTTTATAATCAAGGGGGTAATGAGGGATAGTGGTTGATTATTTTGTAACATTACAGGCCCTTATTCATGGTATTGGTATGGACCCAAATCATGAAAGTTTACTATATTCTTTAATATTGTCTAGTGAACAAATTTAGTCCTTATTTTCATTTACTACAATGTCTAGTAATACAAACGCGGTCGACGAATTTTTAGATAACCACACATATGGTTAATTTTATTTTAGCGGCTTTGGCAGTAATTTCACTAGTGTTGGTGAAAGATTTCGATCTCGACTAAGAAAATTAAAAATTTACTATCAGGTATTTTGTCTACAAACTTAAAGTTTGAATTTAAGTTTCCACAAATAAAAGTTCTAATTATAACCCTTTCCAGGCAAATAAAAAACCGGATTGTTCGGATAGCGCCACTGTTTCGGGTTACGGGCTATACATAACTGGAGCGATAAAAAAGACTAAACTTTAGCGCTAAACTGAATGATGATATATTGATACCAGGAAATTCAAGCATGCAGTTCATCCCATCATTCAGAGTTACTGATAACACATTATCTATTAAAGTGGGAAGATAATGTAAACAATGCCAACTAATTCCTTAAATGTAGGCCGAACAACAATTACTGGATTGGGAATGCTAGTCTTTGTATGCGACACAATGCACTGATGACGTCATACATTCTCTCTGTAGATAAAGCAAACCAAAAACCTTAACCTTTATTACTAGCAGCTCACTCAATCATGGAAGCATCAAGTGACGCTGTGGACGCAGCTATAGCACGTATGACAGAACTGCTGCGATCACCAGACGATCTGGTGAAGGTTAGTTTGTTACGTAAAAGGTTTGCCAAAGAGAAAGCAACAACCGATGCGCAATTGAAGACAGGGGTTAAGGCACAGTTAGATAATACCAGACAGGGTTTAGAGACACTTGATACGTCCAGAAAGGAAATGGTAGTCATAAAAGAAAACATGCAAGGAATAGATAAACTTTGCTCTTCAGCACAAGGAATGATACAACACTTTCCTAGGATTAGTAAGGTCAGTTTAACAATTGTCCCATTTAATCTTAATGGTTCAATGTCGGTGCATTCGTGTGGTCTAATTTCATATTAAATTTGTTAGATTTCTCAAGTACATAGGAATTTTGTCGCCACCCAAGAGACAATAAACAAATTACAAGAGATGTATACGAAACTTGATACGATACGCGGACTCTTATATAGTGATAGGCAGGATCCGACGGGTCCAGCCAAGAACTTGCTACTTGTCCACTATCAGCTGTTTCACATGTCGGAATTTAAAGATAGCACAATGTTCCAAGCAAGGAATGCATCACAGGACGTTATAATAACACTACAAAAATACTTTCAACCCTTGGACGATCTGGTAGAGGTGTTTGAGAATTATTTGTGGACCTTGACGAGGAATCTAATTGACTTGGCCAGACTTGGTAGAGGCACGGTGATTGTTCGTTTGGTGAAAATCATTGAGGCTGAAGAGCAAGCAGATGAGCGGGCAACGACGGCTGAGCAAGCACGACAATCTCATCAGGAGCTGGCCACAAAATTCAAATCAATACAGACAAGTCCACGCGTAATTAGATCATATAGAAGCAAGTTTTTGAATAAATTACATGTTTCCATATCCGATATGTTTAATAGCTTCTTTGATGGATTCAAGGAGGATCCCCCGCAGCTATTAGACAACACTGAATTCATTTATGATGATCTAAAGCTTGTTAATGTGGAACTAATGAGAAAGTTTCCAAAGAAGTACAATATTTTCGCAGTATTTGTATTAGAGTATCATAGACACATATATAATATGCTCGATAAGTTGTCCAAGTCCGATCTGGACGCAGTTACAATGCTGAGGATGATTAAATTTGTTCGTAAATATCACAAGAGGATGGCAAAGGAACTTCGTGTACCTGAAGATATGCTAGAGCCACGTTTGCTAGATGGTAGGGAACAGGAACTCGTTGATGACTATATGAAACTAGTACGCAGCAAATTGGAGGAGTGGAGCAAGAACTTGATGAATGATGAAATTAGCGAATTCGTAGAACGTGCAAAGCCTCCTGAAAAAGACGCTGACATGCTGTATGTACTACAGGGAGCAGTCATCATGTTCCAAATGGTCAATCAGCAGATTGATGTAGCAGCTGAATCAGGACAAGCAAAGATACTTGCTGACGTAGTAAAGCAATGTAGCGAAGTAATGACAGATACGCAGCGGCAATGGATGAAGGTAATAAAATCGGAGGTAAAGAAGCAGATGGATCAACGAGAGGAGACTCCACCTGGTTTCGTGGAATATGTAATGGCATTGGCTAACGATCAAATAAGATGTGCTGAATTTACAGAGGATGTGGTCAAGCGGCTCGAGCCAATGTTAGCTGAACGATATCGCGCTCAAATTAATGCTGATCTGAACGTTGCAATGGATGGGTTTTTGAACGTATCAAAGGTAGGAACGGATACTATATTAGACATTGTATTCAATGACCTTAAGCGTCCCTTTAGTCAGATGTACACTGCCGAATGGTATCAAAGCGATCCGATGTTATTCATAATCGAGACATTGAAGGACTATGCACAAGACTTTAAAACTCATCTTAACGCCTATCTTTTGCATACGCTGATGAGTAGCAGCCTTGATCGATTTCTCATTGCATGTATTGAAACGATGCGACAACGTGGAGCCAAGTTTAGGATGGGCGAATTCATTGAAATAATGCATAAAGATATCCGTCTTGCACGCGATTTCTTTATCCAACTGATTCCGAAAGACGAACTGGCGATTAAATTTGATGCATTGGAGAGGCTATCAGATGTACTTGCTGCTTCTCGTGCCACCATATTCTTGGAGTACTACAAGTTGAGGCAGTCATTCGGGGACGTGCCCGTTGGGTTAATTGAGGACATCCTAAGCAAGCGAGACGATTTGGAGAGGTCAAATGTTAAGGAGATTATGGAAACTATTAAAAGCAAAGCAAAAGAGAGTGGTCCATACAACGGCGAACCCACAATATTCAGCAAGATGAACTCTTGATGCGAAAATGATACCTAGTGAATTAAGATTAGCCATATGTGGTGGTACGTACGTACGTATTATGGATCATACTATTCAACCGCAATGCTAATCTAATTTAGCTGCGAACAGGACTGCTGCCATAATTAATGATAATTTTCATGACAAACTAATTTATGACGTGGCAATAATATTGTGCTGGTTTTTTCTCAATCAATTTGTTTGTAATATTATTTATCAATAAATATTAATAGAATTGGTTTTTACTATGGGACTTTGTTATAGAAATTCTGCTGTTTTAACGATATAGCTGTTTTATATGGGGCACTTATTGGTGGTTGAAGCGGGTCCAGACTCTCTTTCTATTAATAATAAGAGTATTAAAGAGAAATATCAGGTGCAAATACAGTAACCAAATGAATTTACTAAACGTACCTCGAGCGGATACGTCTTGTCCGAATCGAAACCACTAAAATCAGAACAGATTGCATGAGTAATCGACAAAAGAAGCTATACTTTAAAACGCAATGATTTTCACGTAAAAGATACCTAAGATCTCCACAGGCTACAAAGGGAACAATTACACGGTTTGTCCCTAACAATTCGTTCTCGGGACCTAATTCATACGCGTCAGTTTTACATTTGTAATCGAAAGTTTGTTCGTACGATTGAACAAGGACATTTTACCATACGAAAAATCCATTAATGGGTTAGCCATAGTTGGTGTATATCCTTCGGGCGGAGCATAGTTCTGACAAACGACAAACGCCTCTATTAAATCAACCAACAGTATTATCAATGTTCTACATCCGTTTTTTATATATACGCGTCATTATACAACATACCTATACTAGAATTGCGCGAGCTCCTTGGTTTGCTGCACGTAACAACAGGAAAAAACACTTTCAACTGAGCATAAAGCAGAGTGACATCTTTCCCTCGAAAGATCTTGGCAACAAATGTTCCACCCGGCCTCAATATATGTGTTGTTATGTTCAAGGCCGATAACAAGAGTTGTGCCTGAATATATTCGTCCATGTCATGGAGTCCGGTAACTATAATTTGTCTTGACATTGTATTATACTTGTATGTCTTATTGGAGACTAGCTGATATTAGATTCCTTACCGTCCGGAGCGCCATCACATACAACAAGATCGGCCAATTCCCCCTCAAAGTATGAAATAATCTGTTCAGCAGTCGATGACTTTGTGATATCGCCTTGTATCTGAATGACCCCTTCCAAGGGAGCCTATACGCAATAGTATTGATAGTCAGAACGATCCAATCGAACAGATTATGGTGGCCACTGTTTTTAATAAAGAGACACAAACCATGGCTTGCAAATCGACGGCTACTATCTTTGGAGGCGATGCATCATTAACACGGTTCTCGCTATAATAATTACAGAACTATAACTCAATTCTTTGCATCTGTTCCCCGTTTTTGAAAAGAAAAAAGAGCAGTATTACGTAGAACATACTTTAGCTTTTTGGTCAATACTTGCGACCAACTGCCAGGCGCAGCACATAAATCGACTGCTTTATGCACGTCTGGAGAACAGAGTTTTTTCAACTGAACATATTATGTTTGATTGAATGATATCTATTACATGAGAAACTGGGTTTACCCTTGAATAAATCAAACTCCTCATCGATTTGTAGTAATTTAAATGCGCTGCGGGCTCTCCATCCTTGTTCTTTTGCTAACCGATAATAGATATCACGTTTATCTTTTGACGATTTCCCCATTGTCTTCTGATCGAAAAAAAGTTCACACGCTCTCTATTACTATCAGAAATTAACCAGTCACGGGATCGAAAAATACACAACGCCACAAAAAGATTCAGGGTTTGCAACGCCACAGAGGAACAGTACTCGAGCCATTAGAATGCTGGATTACCAAGTCCCCATGGAAATATCAATTGAATTACCCAGCCAACTTTTCCTCTCGAGAGACTTGCTTGTGTGTCATGGATGCTACTGTTACAAAATGTTCACATGTCCAATTCTCATCAACAGCATTCTAATTAACATTTTCTACTCAATGTATAATTTATAGGTAAATATTCTTTGATAATTTAGTGTCAAATGCCTTGGACCTTACATCCGCGTCTTTCGTACGTATTTATACGCAAGCCCAAACACGATTTAAATTTATAAATTTATTACAGTGATAGTTCCATTATATAAATGTTTACTTTTCTCAGCCATGCTATACTAAATACGCTTCAAATCTCTTTGCTCCTAAACAAAAACCGAACTCTAAGTTGAAGATCTTGCCAAGAAACTTGTTGAGAAGCTAAATTCCCTATCACGTGTTTTAAATGGGACTTGTAGATTTATCGAATCTGCTATTAGTGAATTTGGTTGTTTGATAGAAAGCGATGTCAAGTGTAGTCTTTTAACGTGGGTTTAAAAGAAAAAAGGGGGGACAAATCAAATCTGTGGCGTTCAGCAGCTATTAAAATCCTTGTGGCGTCAAGTTCACTTTGCACATGTAGATACACATGATGCAGCGACCGACTACATATACATCCCCTTTTACCATCATTCTATCCCAATTCACAACTTGAGAAAATGGCAAGTTTCTCTCTTTGTTTTCCGTTTGCTTTTCTTTCGGCCAACACTTTTTATTTCCACCGTTGCAATACCTTGTTTATTAACCGCACTACTGATTCAACAGACAGCAACAGCAACGGCGACCCCAATCCAAGAAGTAGAAGACCTTCTCAAACGACTTCAATCCAATAAACATGTCCAGTCTGTGATAATTCTCAACGAGAAGGGTCAGACTATTAAATCGACTCTGGACGATGTACCAACAAAGAAATATTCTGAAATAATCAATAAAATGGTGAATCAGACAAGAGGCCACATCGCAGATATAGAGGAGGGTGTAAGTGTATGATTGCAGTTGAAAATGGGTTTTTTTTGTGGAATGTTGACGTGGTTTAATTTGTTTGTTTAGAACGAGCTTACGTTTTTGCGTGTAAGAACAAAAAAATACGAGATTATTGTTCATCCTGGTAAGCATTGGATGTTGATGAGAATCTATTCAACACAGTTATCCTGTTTCTATTCGCTGTGTTCTACTACTATTCGTTTCTATATGTACCATTCTTATTTGTCTTTTCCATTCAGAAAACGGATACATTCTCGTTGTGTTCCAAAATCCCGACAAACCATTGACTGCACCACCGGCCGAGAAATCAACGAGTAAACCACCGGCCACCACCTAAATCATATTATTTGCAATAAAGGATGATGTATATGTTCATAGAGTATCCATACATGAAACAGTATGTTCTATGCTTGTGTTATATAATTCTTGATATTATATGCAATAATGATCTATTTTGAAAGCTTCGTTGGAACGCGTACTACGACTGGAATGTTCATGTTGTTGATTTCGCAAGTTATCCGAAGAACCTCTCAGTGGTCCCTCTTCATTGTGCTTCTGTTCCGCACCACAACTCTTATGGAATTTTCCTGTGCCCAACTACAATCAGGGTTCTATGGTCATTTTTGTTCGTTTCATCAGGTTTGATGGCGAAATGCTCAGGTGGTAGTACAATGAGAAGTCCTTGAGTTGAATTTTTATTGGCGCCAGCCACAGCGTTTTTTTGTACTGAAGATAATCGAGAAGAGTTTCAAGGGTTTGGAAGGAAAATTAAAACTTTTTAATGATGAAATAAAAAAACTAAAAGGAGGTAAAAGTTTGCACGGCCTTTATTCGCTGACCCAACGGCGGCCGAGCCAGCATGGAACACACTCTTCAACAGCTAGATTTTTAATTAGACAGAAATTCCAGACTTTGGTCCAGGCTCTTGTTCTGAACGAAATAATTCAACCTTCAAATATCAAGTATTAAATCGATCGTTCGATGAAAGAATGTCAAGTTTTATTGAAATTCATTTCAGAGCTAATCATAAACGGGTCATTGTGGAGCATCTTTTTTAGTCGCTCCACTCCATCTGACCAAAGTAGTCTCTTGTGGCTCTATTAGTTCGCAAAAGTCAATTAACTTTACATCCAACATAATGTGTAAGGCATGCATGCTTGTACTGTATTGCTATCATCATTACCTGACTGCGAAATTACTCTGAAAATGGCCTGCCAGTTACGAAGAATCGTGCTTACCGCTGCATATGAAAACCATTTGCCCATTACCAGTCAATCCAGTTCAATGTGCGATAAAACAAATATAAACTTTTTTATACCAACCTACACAGCCCTCGTTCAATTCATCCAACTTTAACGCCAATTCTTCAAAGTATGTTATCATTTGCCCCGACGTCTCTTTAATCAACAATAGGTTTTCGTGTTCTCGCTCCTTCTCGTGTAATTTAGCGAGAAGCTTGACGGTTTGTGGATTGTTCATAGCCGTTGACATGAGCGAGTCGGTCCCTTTTTTTTGGTTTTTTTTATATTAACTTTTGTTTGTGTCCGCGTTGAAACCGCTGAGAAAAGCGTGCGCGTCTAAAATAAGTTTCCCGATCAACCAATCCCATCTTCACGCGCGCAAATTCTAAGCCACAGACCGATCCAATCATACCATCATCGCAATTCATCCGACATTCTCATCAGTGTGTTGAAAAAAGGATGACAGGAATCCTTCCAGCCCAAGTTCGCAGAGTGGTCGTGACTGGCTTGGGCCTCATAACGCCGTTGGGAGTGGGCGTAAAGACAACATGGGACAACCTTCTTCAATCAAAATCGGGAATAATTTCCTTGTCGCATAAGATTGACCCCAACACAAAATATGAGGGATTCGATGATTTACCATCAACGGTGGCAGGTGTAGTAAAGAAGGGCAAAGATGGTTATGATCCGGGAGAATGGCTTGAGCCTGGGGTGAGGACGATTATGATTGTGGGGAGTTGTCGATTTGATTGATGCGGACATGGTTAGATTGATGATGGTGGTGGTGGTTGTGGGGTGTTATTTGTACTGCTGTTATTAGGACGAGCGAAAGATGGCTCTGTTCAGCCAATATGCTATTGTTGCTGCAAAGCAAGCTCTAAAGGATGCAGGATTAGAAACGATGACCGACTTTGAAAAGGAGAGAACCGTAAGATCAAGTTGAAATCGATTATCGACGACGTTATCGTTCGTATGCCAAGTCACCATGATTAATTTTACAAGGGCGCATGTATTGGTTCCGGCATTGGAAGTCTGGATGATACTGTATCGAATACGATAACACTTCTTGAAAAGGTATCGGCTTTGTTACTATATCGATGGTTTTACGCATACTCCAAATGCTCTTACGACTAGAAATTCTCATATAGGGCCATCGAAAAATCAGTCCAATGTTCATTCCTCGATTACTCATCAACATGGCAGCTGGCCACCTAACAATGAAATATGGGTTTCGAGTAGGTCTCGTTGGACATTCTTTATTATATATGGATTTCTGATATTCGTAATTTTATATTGACGCTTTTTTTTCTTCTTCTTCCTTTCTCGTTCTTTTTATCAACAGGGACCCAATCATACATGTTCTACAGCCTGCACGACTGGTGCTCACTCTATAGGTGATGCATCGCGGTTTATTCAATTCAACGATGCGGATGTAATGATAGCCGGTGGAACCGAAGCGTGTATTCATCCTCTGGCTGTTGCTGGATTTGCAAAGTAGATATATTGCGTTACAAACCTTGACTTGAGAGCGCGAGCGCGCGCGCACGCAAGCACTTGCGACTTTGGCATGAATGTGATCATTTAATATATACTTTATAGGGCCAAATCTCTATGTACAAAATACAATGATAATCCACCACAAGCCTCCAGACCCTTTGACAGAGACCGGGATGGATTTGTCATTGGTGAAGGAGCAGGTGTAGTAGTACTCGAAGTATGATGATGATGATTGTTCTAAAATCCTTTCCAAAGTTAGAGTTAAACACAAGAATTATAGATTAACCAGACGAAGGATGACTAATAAATTTTTTGTTTTATTTGTGGGGTGTGGTTCGGGGGGGAAAATCCTTGCAAATAGGAATTGGAGCACGCCAAGAAGAGAGGTGCGAGGATATATGCTGAATTGCGTGGATATGGTTTGTCCGGTAAATCTACATATTGGGATATAGTTTAGGCAATGTGTTACTTGTTTACCGAGTTTATATCTCTTTCTTTTCATACCCTATTCTGTATTTGATTTTGATTCCCACATTCTACAAATCTTGTTATTATTTTTCCCCTTGTATTCCGACAATTTATTTGGTTTACAAGCGTCACACCCCTCCATACCACAAATTTCTTAATGTCGATACCAGCACTAAAAACTTTTGAATTTTCTAAATAGGCGATGCTCATCATATAACAGCCCCACCAGCAGACGGTTATGGTGCGATGCTTGCTATGCAGCGTGCCATGGAGCACGCGAGATTGATGCCCAAACACATTGATTATATCAATGCGCACGCGACCTCGACATCGCTAGGTGAGTAGAGGAAATGAAATCTGCATCTTATCGATGGCCATTGTTATACTGTACGAGGGAAAATCAATAGATGCGTGAGAGATTGAATGGGCAAGTAGGATCATTATGTACTCGTGTGCGCTGCTACACACAGACACTGAAAAAAAAAATTTTTTTTCTCACACACGAAAGAAACAAAGAAAGAGATGGTTTTTTTTTTTTCTTTTTTTTTTTTTCCAACAAGAGTCAAGACAATACTTGTATGACTTGACAATGATAACAAAAGAAGTGTCGAATTAGAAAGACATGACTAACAACATCTAATTAGTAACACCCCCCGACCCCCCCGTTACAATTGTCACCCACATGACCCGGACTATAGTACTAACTTGATTTGTACAAACTTTGTTTACATTACACAAGGCGATGCTGCGGAAAATACTGCAATACAGCAAATATTTGAAGGCAATGCAAGAGAACTGGCTGTTTCCTCGACTAAAGGAGCAATTGGGCATTTATTAGGAGCAGCGGGCGCCGTTGAGGCTGTGTTCACCATCCTAGCAGTGCATAATGTTAAGTATTTGGGGGGATGACACACAGACACAGATGGCGATACGCTTCTATTCGTTGTGTTAATAATTATAATTCATTCGTCTCATTTATGTCTATCAGAATATCGTTCCACCGACACTGAATCTCAACAACCAATCGCCCGAATTCCGTCTTAACTATGTGCCACACGTACCCCAACAAAAGACTATTCGAGCAGCTCTGACAAACTCGTTTGGATTTGGTGGGACGAATGCATCGCTGTGTTTCGCCAAACTAGAAGAAGGTTTAGAGATTGAGCGATAGAGATACATCTTGATTTTAGAACTTTCTACGAGAGACCCTTTTTTTTTAATGACAGTTTGTAAGACAAGCTGGTTTTGGACGACGGAAATTTAGATGGTGCTTGGTAAAGAAAAAATTTTATTTTTTTTTTAGTTATTCCCAATTTGGGGAGCGCTGATAAGACAGTGATTTCTTATCGGTAGAAGAAAGAATCCATATACAAAGAAAAATTATGAATTAATAAACTACATAACAACCCTAAAGACATTATCTTATTGATAACCCTTTTTAAAAAAAAAGTAAAAAAAAAAAAAAAAAACCATGTCCCCCTTCTCCTAGAACACGAAAGGGAGAGTGGGGGAATAGCTGTTAATAGTGTGCTGTATGTATGTAGTAAGTGAAGATAAGTAGTAACTAAGTGACTGCGAATGATGGTGCTTCGCGCAAACATAATAAACCGAGATAGAAAAAAAGACAATAATAATATGCAAGCACCTTGTAATAAAAATGATGTGTTTTTTTTTATCTGATGCGAACAACAGCTTGACCATCTTCTATAATGATATTTCACCTAGTTACTAGCTACTCTCTCAAAAATATTAAGTACCTAAAAACAAAATAATAAACACAAGAAAAGGAACTATTCTTTCCAAGTGTTCTATAATATAAATGAGCGTATGTAATGAGTGAACAACAAATGAATATATATATCTATATATACACACGGAAGCTTCCTTTTCTTGCTAGAAAGAATAGGAACACCGGTCTAGCGACGACCACCATCACTATCAGACACTATCATTTACAGTTGGACGATAGTATCGAAAGTGCGTGCTAGGCCAACCAACTAGTCGTTTTCCATTAAATGTCTCAAATAATACATAGTGTGTATTGCCTCCTCACGGCGTCCAGCGAATCCCGAAAAGAGAATAAAAAAAAAAAGAGGGGAAGAAAGAAAAAGTAGAAAAGAAAAGAAAAAGAAAACGAAGAAAAAAGAAAAGGGAAGGGAAAGGAAAGGGAAAAAAAAAAAGAAAAAAGAAAAAGAATAAACCATATGTACTGAATTGCAAATATAAACTATGAGAGAGAAAGAGAACTACCATAATACAATAACTAAATACACTAATTTCGTATTCACATATACACTCATACACACACAAAAATACTGACACATGCACATATTTATAAAAAAAATTGTCCCTCACACTTTTTTTGTTTTGTTTTTAGATTCAATTAAACCAAGGCGCTACTTCACCCATGGCCCAATTAGCAATCAATTCCTTTGCCCGTCGTTCTTCGCTTCCTGTTTCCGTCATCCATTCGGGGCCTTCGTTTTCCTGTTTCCAGGTGTTATATCTCCTCGAATTCCTTGCTCTGGGAACACGGATAACGTCTTGCGATGTTCGCGAAAGTGCGCGTCCTTCGTCATCGGATGCAGCGTCGTCTGCGTAGAACATGGTATGGACATGATCATATGCCATGGCATATGTGGACATTGACGAGGATGTGGTCGACTGGGCGTCTGCTTCGAGCGTGGGTGTTTGGTGAGGAACTGGTATCGGTGAGGGCGATGTTCGTGTGCTTGTGGTGGGTCTTACGAAGCCTAGGATGTCTGAAAACAAAAGTCATTTTTTAGACATATAGTGTACACGTGATCATATTATCCCCCCCATTTCCGAGAGAAACTGTGTTTTCTGTTTCCGCCGTTCGCAGCGAAACTTGTTTTCTTGCCAGTTGTATGAACAATTTCTTCGTATTGACCACTTACTTTCGATAGTATCCCATGCTCTTCGAAGTAGAGACCGCGGGTACTGCTCTTCTTGTTGACGAACATAAACAATGGTTTCCCTATTCAAGGACATATTTCGTACACTCAACTGATATAAGGTGGGTTATATGTGATCTAAATTATGTACAGGAACACTCGGAGAGGTGTTTTGTATTCTGTAGTTATGTACAGGCGATAGATATATGTCGAGTGAGGGGATAAATAATGTATATAATATATAATATAATAATAGGGATAATAGGGCGCTGCAAGTAATTGACGATAAAGTAAGAGTGGGAATAGTTTGAAAAGCCCATCTTATATAGTGGTTATAGAATTGGGGGGAGGGGCACAACCAGAATATTGTCAAACAAGAGGCTGTGGGGGAATTGGTGAATAGGGTTAAACCTGACAAACGATTACGACATAACAATAATCTATTCATCATATATTATCGTAGTATAATATACATTGACGTTTCACATGCATTTATTTTCTGTCTTTGCAGTTACCCGAACATCGGGTGATACGAATTACCGTAAGCGTCAGCAAGTTTAAAAATAAACAAAAGTGTATGTGTATGTGATATGAGCGAAATTTCTTAGGTCATTGGTCGTTATCAAATAATCTGTGCATATTTTGATACGTCAAGTCTAATGCTAACTTGCATATGCCAATGTGCAAACCGTGATTGGAAAGAAAAGAAAAAGAACAGGTGGGCACAATGTTGGGGGATAAATAAAATAAATCGGAATATAGTTAAATCAGCGCCCATTATCGGTTGATTTGGGACGCGTAATTCCGTTCGTGCTGAATAAAGAAAGTGACAAGGAAAAAAGGGGGTTGTGATCTAATGCTTTAAATGCAATATATATTTATTAATGTATTGAATTGGATCATTGTAAAAGAGTACGAATGCGTTGAGGCGTAAAGTATTGATATATATAGTATGAAATAGGCGTAAATACAACAGCATATTGGCGTAAAATATGTCAGCCAATTCACTCGCTTGATATATATGAACCATTGTTACCATTGTTAATCATGATGACGGACTTTTGTTTCCAGGAAAAAGAAATGACATGGGAATTAAACACTCACATACTCGCACACTTGCACACTTGCACACTCACATACACATACACATACACATACACACACGTACACATATACATCACATACACATACACACTAAAACCCCACATCATTCCCTTTGAACAGGATTGCTTAAACCCCATCGAATATATGATCATGTGAAGTCCCTTTTCCTCTTGCTATTCTCAGCAAATGGCACACAAAAACATTATCTGGAGGAGATGAGCAGAGCGATATCTTACATTCTTATTCGTAACATCAATTAATCTTAATTGTAGATGAAACCGTACGTGCATGTACGAACAGACAAATGCGAAAACGTATAATAATATTGTGTGTATATATAAATCTCTATCTCCATCGGGCTTATCTTTTGCTGCGATAATACATCATTACATACCGATATGTTTCGATCAATAACAAAGCTCCAATCTCGATATACTGTTGCTATTCTGTCTTCATCCATTTTCAGCAGGATGTGATAAGTGTCACATACGCACAGCAGTATCAAGGTGACACAACATCGACATCTCTGAACTAATCTATAGATGACAAACAACAATAATTGTACTGTATACAAATATACTATGTGTAATATAAATCGATACTGTATACAGTACATTGGATAATGACAAATACAACAAATACTACTAACAGAATAACAAATAAGTTATTTGTTCCACACAAAGATTTCACGGATAGGTATTTCAATGGTTAACAGTTCCATTTTTAGAACAGTTGCAAGCTAAGATCGCCATAAATGTTAACACTGTCCTAATCATATATGAAAAAAAAAAGCTTTATATCGTTATATGAAAAATCATATCCATAAACGTGACTATATTATATAATATATTATGCATATTTTGTATACAAGAGAGAGATAGACAGAAAATGACTGATAGACTGATAGAGAGACAATACCAATACACACAATCATAACAAACCTTTTCTTACAAATAATACTACTACTTTCCTCAACCTGCCGCCTTTAGCATTCATTATGGCTGCAACAAACAATCCTTCTCCTTCGCCAACACTTTTCGTCCCCGTTTCCTATTATCACCCATAATGGATTGGTCCGTTTCATGTATTGTCACATTCTCTTGCGTCTGTCACTTTCCATTATCCGCCAAGAACGACCGCCATGCTCTCATCTGGTAGAGGAGTGGCCGTGCAGATGCCGAAGTGCCGTAAAAGATGCTGCAAGCTTATAGTGGAGATGCTTAGTAGATGACTATCGTCGATGATGTGCAATGGAATTACTTGGCAATCAATTTTTACTATTCTTATTCTCGCTATTATCATTGCCATTTTTATTCTTGTTGGTATTTCAAAACGTGTCTGATATGGAATGATAGTGGTCTAATCAATAATTGTGTAAGAGATTCTTTCTAATCATGTTATTGTTATCAGGCTTTAGAGTTAACACTACTAGCTATTTAATGACTTTCTTTGTTGACCGTTGTGCCATATTTTCGCTTGTTAACCATATACTACCACGAATCTACATACGATGTACAAACCCGTAAATAAAGAGTAATATATTTTTGATACCATTAATAGCAGTTACCCAATCCTTTGCTTGTAGCAATGTAAAATATGTATAGTATATGTATGCATAGTTGGGGCGTTGGGGAGTTTAATATATCAATATGCAGTATAAATCGTCTTGTATGCGGGCCCCTGGTATCACAAAAAAAACTATGATCACGTGTTTACGTATTTAGAATATCGGGTAACCCGAAAGAGATTATAGTAATTTCCTTACATTTAGGTTTCTGCAATCGGGACTAATCCAGTCATTCAATAATGATTCCTTATTACCGACTTGTATGTGTCATAAAATGGGTTTATCATACTCGATCTATATATAACACACACACACACACACACAAACATGGCAAATTGGCAGCACTCGAGTATGCAGCTCTTTTACACGCGCTCGGAATCCGGGTTGATTCCATGCAGAATCGCTTTCTGACATTTCTTGAATCTGAAAAACTATATTACTTGTGCCACCCTCGTTAATTTCACGTTAGCAATCTTTGAACCTTCTTCGACGCTGTGCTAGCCATATCGGATGTGATATTTCCCCGCAAACCATCAATCGATCCTCTCTGCACTACCCAACGGAAACAATATAACCCGATAATTAAAAATCATTAGCTTGTGAAATTGCTTCCCTCAAAGACTGATTTGCCAGTTGTGGACAACATCGTCTTACCCTTGGGGGGAGGGAGGACAAAATTTTATCCCATACTAATACCCGAACAGCTGTATAATTCGACTGTTTTTGCCCTAAAAATGTTTGGCTTGATAAAAGATCATCTTCTCCTAGGAACAGTTTACCAATTTTACCCCTGTGACGTTCTTATCCCAATATGTAAACGAGTTATATTTGCTTATAATTGTAAAAAAGTGGCCATCTTTCCTGGTAGGAACTTATTCAAAGTTCATCACTACCAATTCAACACAGCACGCGGAATCTTATATTTTGGGACAACAACCCTCATTTCATGTGAAAGTTGAAAGGATAACTACTCTTCTTTAGGAAACGACGGATGATTTGATCAGATGCTTTCGCTCATGATTGAATCATCATTTTTTTCAGCAATCGAATAAAACATAACAAATGCGTGCCCCTACAGAGATTTCAAATCAAAAGGTTCTAGCCAATCTGTCTCTATATCTAATATTATAATTTGAAATTAACTCAAGAACGAACGTAAAAAGAAAAGGAATAATAGAAACATTTGGAATTCTTTGATTCTGTGTCGATTTCTCATGTTCTTACGCACGACATCCAAGAACCTAAATTTCCTGCAATGGACGTAGTAATGTTTGAATCTCGTGTAAGGTAGTATATTGAGGGGGAGAATACACAACCAATAATGGATGCGATATGAACAAACAACGAAGATGAGGAGGAGAGAGCATTTAATAGATATCAGGGAGGTGCTACAAGGAAAGCGGGTGTTCCTCCCTTTGCGGATAAGTGACCAGTCTTTTAATAGCATGATCGATATAAAGCCTGACATACTCTCTTTTTTTTTTTCAAAATAGACAAAGCCGAATGCAGAGACGTACACCAATTAAAATTGTTTGTTTGTTTGTTTGAGAAACTTTTTCAAATAAAGAGCATGACACTTTGATTAAAAAAAGACATTTAAAATTCGCGTTTTCTATCACTTGACGCGTTGACGATTTCAGTATCAAGTGAATATTGAGGCTACAATTTTGACAAGTGATTGCACCAAAAGTCAAAATTACAACGCCAAAAAACCTGTTTACTAATTACAGTCCACTAATAAACTCTCAGAGTTTATGGCCGGTTAGCTAGCTACCACTGATAGGCTTTCTTTAACAGTAAGGAAAACGTCATGGGACTGACGATCAAACCATTACGTAAATGTTATTACAATCGTGTAGATAATATAATCTGACAGATTGTTGTGAACGAAATTTTTTAATATGGAGTCACAGCTCATATTCGGCTGCGCTTCCAGCTCAACTGAATAATATCTCACAGAATTGTTATTAGATCAAATTGAGTTAACGTGAGAGGTTTTTTTTATCGCTACAGTTGGCGTCATTTTGTCATAGCAATATTAAGATTGTCAATAAATGTAACCGATATCCAGGAAGATTGAAAAACAAATTGCTTTATCAAGACAAGATCTGAGTTCTCAAATGGCACGTTTTATTGCCATGCTCTTTTACGAGACCCTCTGAAAATTAAGCCGAATAAGATCAAAGATTCAAAATTATCGAAAAACGGCTCCCAAAAGCTTAATTTTCCCCAAGAAATAAAATTTCTGATATCAATATCATAGCCCACTTATTACATTGCAATAAGGGTGAATATTAAATAGAGTATCGGGATCTGGAAGCTTTTCTCAGAGGAGATTCTTGAGATTGATAATTGTAGTAAAGAATGCTTTCATTTATTGTTCATGCTAACATCAGTAAAAGTAAACGATTACTAGCGTCTGTTCGCCTCGAGTGCTTCTTAGCATCTAGTAAATCTATGGATGATTATGCGAGAAACAGTCTATATTAACAATTTTATATAAACCGGGATTCGTTCTTTAAGCAACCCCCCCCCTTCGTTTTAAACCGTGTTTTCCGTCTTCCAGCACTTGTATCAAAATACGATTGAGTATCATGTAGACATACATAAGCTAGACAATTATCTAAAACGAGCCCCCTCTCAATATGCCCTGATACAACTGGCTCTCGATATAAGAAAGTGATCAGGCCCAACAAATTTCTTATAACAAGAGTTATTTGTTATAAGATTTTAAATTCTTGTACAATATTTCGCGCGACGCGAGGTGAAAGCCATTGACGTCTTTTCTGATAAATGAAACTGCTTGCAATAGATATAAACTGAGGGTCATATGCAACCTTTAAACCCTTAATGTTAAATACATATGCAGCATTAGCTTCCAAATAGACTTTTAAAAGCGTATAAACGAAATTTTCACGCTAAGAAACCCTCCCTCAACTGTATACGTTCAACTGTATACGTTGCGCTGTGATAAAGCTCTGAAACATTACTTGTCGGCCAGAAACCACATACAATATATGGCAAATACAACTTCCACCAAAATGTTAAAGTGACCAGGGACAAGATGTTGATTAATCATTCCCCGATTTTGTTTATTAAGTAATAAAAATTTTATGCTACAGCACAAAACTGATATCTTTTTAAGAGATGAACGTACAGACATCACATTCTCTTAAGTTCATCTCACGCTAGTCAATTGAACTCATCAAACATCTAAGACATAAAAGTAGAACAATAACATATTCTATCACGTGATTATATTATCAGAACCACACAGATGGCGAAAAACAAAGCATACACCAATTGATAAATATTAGACCTGTATTTATTACTTTTTGCTGCCGTTTCACTGCTCACCAATTAACGCATAGTTCCAAACCCGTTCGTACAATCGATCCTGACAAATTCAGATTATTGCGGCGGCGGAGGGGGAGGCGGAGGATTACTCGGTGGTGGGGGAGGTGGAGGCTGACTAGGTGGAGGAGGCGGCGGAGGCTGACTAGGTGGTGGCGGAGGACCCCAACGTGGCAGTGTAGGAGAACTCACGCCTGCCACATTTCCGTATGCACTCTGTTGATATCCACTTCCATACGCACTACCATATCCCCCATACCCATAATAAGACGCAGGCGGATAACCACCGGGCGGATATGGTCCTGAAGGACTTGTTAGTGTATTAGGAGCAGGAGCGGTACTATATGGACGATTGGACGACCAAGGCGCTGGAGGAACAGAGCTTGTTGGTGAGATAGATGTTGGCGAAGTTGTTGGAGACACACCCGGTGGTGGTGGAGTTTGAGAGTAGCCTGGATAGTTAAATTGGTGATTTCAAAAGATAATTTAACAAAGAGGGAGGGGGGGGGGGGTATTACGGGTAAAAGCGGGTTGTGTTTGTCCAACATATTAGTATTAGCCGTATGAACAAGCAAAAAAGCAATCATGAAACGCAAACCGTCGATATCGTCGATATCGTCGTAAAATTCCATTTTCGTTAAATTATTTCAGTATCCATGGCAGCGTTAATGTATCAAGTAAGTAGTTAGTTGAGGGATGTTAGTGGCAATTAGTGTCGTTAGTTGATAGGTTAGTGGTAGTTAGTGTCGTTGTCGAACAAGAGTTGGAGTTAGTATTAAATTAAATGTGCGTTCATTCCGTATGATCAAATAACACAGTAGAACGACATCATTAGTAATCCCATAACAATTGAATTATTATAAAAAGCAACGAAATTAGTTTTGTACATCAGTGAATACAATAGAATTATAACATTCAAGCAATTCCAGAACAAATTGAACAGGATAATTAAACAATCAATAACACAAAACTTGCCACGTACCTGGCGGAGGAGGAACACTTGATGCAGATTGTTGCCAAGGAGGTATAGATGATGAAGTCCCTGGTGGTGTTGTGATTGAAGATTTTGCCCAAGGCGGAGCAGCTGATGTGGGGCTGCTCGGAACCGGTACCGCTGTCGTTGCTGCGGTCGCGGCTGCTGCCCAAGGAGGTCTCGAAGCAGTCGAAGGTCCATAGTGGCCCTATATATAACAATAGGGCAAGGCACAGTCGTTGTTAGTTTATGATACAATTAGATCTTGTTGCAATAAACGTCGCCTCGTTAAACAAGAGTTATTCCCTTCATTCTCCAAATCTAAATATAACCCAGACTTACCGTTCGTCCTCCCAAATCTGTCCTACCCCCATCAACACTCTCTCCTAATTCAGCCATCAAATTCAGATATTCACTGTCCAATTTCTGATCTCTCTGCTTGGCTTGTTGCAACGCTTCCGGGTTATTCCTTTCCATGCAATCTCTCGCTGTATGCCCATGACCATCGCAAATACGGCATGTAAGGTTAATAGTAAAGTTTTGTGATTCATTGCACTCGTATTTACGATGTCCAGTTGCACCACAATTGGTACAGATTTGATTTTCATCATCGCGAAGAGTCCCGTTCAAGGCGGCTAGCTCGCGAAGTTGTTGTCGCTTCAATTCGTTTTGACCCTCAGGCACTGAAGCAGACTAGGTGTTTTCACAAGAGCAAGCGTTGTTTAATTTATAGTCATACAGAATGTACAATGTCACACAGGTTCAAGGTTACTTACCGTCTCTATAATCTTATTGATCATTTTTACAGCCTTGACAACTTTATCTTCTAACTCGGCTGTTACCAAACAATGTAGGTCCTCATCTTGATTTGAATTTGCTGCAGCATCAGTTCTGCTCTTTCCCTCCTTAACGCTACCACGTCCTCTTATACTAATCTTTGCTCCAGATTCTGCTTCCATTTTTTTAAGGGTATTTCCACGCGGTCCAATCAACAATCCAATAAAATTAATTTCAGGAAACTCTTTGGCCGGAATGTATACTTTATCCTGAACCTTGGTGGGTCGCTTATAATCAGCGGGTGGCTTGAAATCGGGATTGCGTTTTACTGCTTCTTCGATTAGACGATGGCGTTCGTCTTCAAGCTTTTTGCGATATCGATATTCGCGTGTATTCACGCGTTTACCCTGAGAATCATATATTGGTTCAGGCGATACGGACCTTTATAAGGGAGTGGATTTTTAAAAAAAGGCAAATTTAATCGACGTTTTTCTTTGAATTCGCAAACTATTTAAATCTTGCAAATAGATTAATCACAACAAGGGTCGCATGCCAGATCAATAGACTCAACATACCTTTCTCGTTCGGGCGGAATGTAATCGCCAGTTCGAAGCTTTCTACCTATTTCTTCCAATCTCATATGCACTGCGTGAAGTTGAGAACACATTACAAAATGCATACAGACAAAATTGAGTTATCACCGTACACTCTACAATTATTGTTCTTAACATAATACGCTATTACTGTTCAAATCGTTTCTTTCCCCTACAAATCATTATCAAATTTCTACTCACAAAGATAGGTATCCAGTTGTTCTTTCGTCATGCTGGCAGTGATGGCAGTAGGCAAGCCGGGAATATTTACTTTGGAATCCTCCGAGCCCCACCTACTTCGACGCTTCTTTCGGCGTTCTTCAGCTGCGTCAAATTGCTGATCTGCATTCGTGGTTTCAGAGTCGTCTACCACATCCTCACTTGGTCTCTTGATCGAGGTTCGGTTTGTTGAATCCTTCGAATCTTCTGAATTCAATTGTGTATCATCAGTATCAGAAGGTCTATTTCCGTCATCGGAGGAACTCCCCATACGTCGCCTGCCAAGCGGTATATTATTCGTGCCTGTTATTGACGGGTTAGATTTCCACATCTTTAATCAATGTTTTTTTTTTGAAGTCAAAAAAGCAATGTAAAAAATCTTTTTATAATGGGTATGCTGCAGTGACGTAAGCCATTATCGCAAACGAAACGTCACACAATGATTAATACTAATACTATACTAATATGTATAAACTATCACTTTTACTATTATGCCAGCAAATTTCTTTCCAGAGAACTGTTTCGTACCAGAAAAAGTAAACACAGAACAACAAGAAATAGGTTAACAACAGGCTTGCTTTTTCGCTTTGGCTGTTTCCGATCTGACTGTTATGCATTCAACGAGCAACAGAGGCAAAGCAAGTCTTATGTCGTTAACAATATTAATATTGCAGTTTTTAGAGTTTAAACGCATGCGTAGCACAAAATGCCGCGTAATCGCATCGTGTAAATAAACAAATGGCGAAATCCTTGTTACTCTTAAGTGAGCATGTACTTTTATAATGTCTAAAACCGAAAAAAATTTTTTTTTTTCCCTGTGAGAGTAATTACAACTTGTGCATCGAGAACAATAAAATAAATGTTCGTAGAGATTCTACTATCTCTTTGTGATAAACGTTCATTACACAACTTTTCGACGATATATGATAAAAGTTAATTATCAATAAACGAACTCGGAAGAACCAGTGAAAGCTTGCGAACATAATAATAATAAAGCACCATCATTACGCACAGTTCAATAGTTTTCTAGTGATGGGTGAGCCTCAATCTGGGGACAGCTAACCTCCGGCGAATTGCATGTTTATAATAATTAACATTATTATTATTATTGCGCGAGCGGTAAAACAATGTCCAAAATATCCTTGATAAAGAAGTTAGCTGCTTCAATCGAATATCAGCAATGTGATGGTATTTTTTAGTAGAGGCGTTGTGGGTGATGCATACATTCAATTTACTAATAATGTAACAACTTATTGAATCACGGCCCAAATAGAATTTCACTGAACGAAGAATTTGTAGCGCCTTCGTATACGAACATGTCTGAAAAGAGAAAAGGTTGGGTATTGGTTGATCTTATAAGTTGCCAGATGAAAAATTACTAAAACATAGATAATCACAGAATGCTGGGGGATGAAAATATCCACCAATCACACACTCTGTGAAGGAATTTCTTCTCCACACAGTATCTGGATATGTACTTAGGGTACTATATTCAGTGAGGTGTATGATACTGGATATGTACTTAGGATACTATATTTAGTGGTCTATGGTACCAGTGCCGGCAGATCTTCCCTTTTAAACTTGACGGCCAAACAATTTTCCTTGATCCCATTATTATCACGGTTAATATTAATTCGACTCCATGATCTCTTACTTCCCTCCTGTTCGACATGAATTCAACCAGTCGCCGCGGGTTCGTAATGGGTTTCAGGTCAAGCGCGCGTTGCAAAGAGTGGCTAATCGATTTTATTGCTATTGATGTAGAGGATATCTTCCAATTGAGAATTACGGATTTATTGGGAATCTACGCACCGTATGTTTGTGTGGCATTGATGGCTCGATCGACTTCTTCTGTTATCCAAAGTTTGATAGCCCATCCGTGTTTTGTCGACTATTAGATGCAAATAAGGTATAAGCCATTGGAATTTCGAAACCGACAATGAATCAACAACTAACCATGACTGGTGATTTTTTTTATAACGATCATCTAATGACTTGTGTTTGCCGAATGACCAATTTCAATGAATGTAGGGAGGTGAGTATTGATCATAAATTGATATGATGTTAAAACATACTCGCTCACTTCACAACTTTCTTATTCGAGGCCATTTCTCGATCCGGCCAATCTCTTACGAAAGAACCAAACAACAATATCTTCCAAATTCAAACATTCTCTCCACTCGCTTTTTATCTGCTGAAGGGGCGA